GACGCTCTGACAGAGCGCGTTTCTTTTCCGCCTCCCTGAATCTTAGCAAACATTGGTGGGGTGGAGTACGCGGCCCCACCTCGGACCTTCAGGGCCACAGTTCCTGCTACCCGACCATTCACGCCCCCCTCACCGCTTCACTCTCCTCCCCCTTCTTCCTCCCACCCCCACCCGGGTTCCCGTCTCCAGGCTGCGTTATCTGCATCTTCACTTTTAAATTTCCGCTTCCCTCCCTCTCTCCTGTCGCTGCGCTCCCGGCCGGGCAGCCGTGGCTCCCTTTATCTCCGCACCCCTCCTCCCCAAGCCTTCTCCCTCCAACTCCTCTCCCACTCTCTGCTCTTCCCTGGAGACCCGATCTCCTTCCCTGTCTGCCTTTCCAGGGCTCCCAGGCCTCTGGGCCAGCGCGGGGCGTCTTCCCCACAACTGCAATGGGTTGCCCCTCCCCGCTTTCTGGGTCTCTTCCTTTTAGTCTCTCCTCCTGCCTCCACTCTTTCTCTCCCTCCTGTCTCTCTCCTTTTCTCATTCATTTGTTCCCCATTAATTTGTGGCATACAGTAAGCTCATGAGCCCCCTTCCCCTTCCACCACAATGACAGCTCTCCCAGCCTTCCCATTCCATGTCATCCCAGCCTACATCCACCCTCACAACTGCTGCCATCCTGGCTATCCCTAAATCACTTGGGAATTGGCACCTTACTCTTACAAGAGTAAAGGGGCTAAAACAGGGTTGTGTACTGTACAAGGGCCCCAACTCAGGGGGAGTGGAGGCCGAAATCCACTCTGAAAAAGTGGCAAAGATGCTGATTGTATATTAGCCAAGCTGATGTGCTTCCCAGGTGGCTTGGAGGCTCTGGGCACTTGTGGGTCTTCCTAACTCTGGATAGGCTGCCAAGGAGGGGTGCTGGCTAAAGGCTCTGGGCCAGGAGCCACCTGCAGCCATGAAGCGCCTGGTGGCTACTGTTGGAATTGGTACTCTTCAGGCCTTTTTCTCCCACTACTTGAGCCCAGGAGGTGATGAGGCCTGGAACTCCAGGGCACATGGATTAGAATGGGCAAGTTTTCTGTAGGATCCTGGTTCTGGGGTGCCTGACTGAGAATGGCTGGAAAGTCTAACGTGGTGGGTTCTTGCTGTTACTGCCAGTGTTTGTCTTTACTGGTGGAGGGTGTTTTCTTAGCACTTCCCCAGATAGAAAGTAAGGAGCAGGTGGTCAGAGCCTGGAGACACCAAGGGTCAGTCACTTAATGCTCTCATCGGAGAGGCTTCCCAGAGTGAGCAGTCTATCCAGACATCCCAGCTCTAAACGGGTGATGGATCAGCATCTCAGGTTCTGAGCCCCTGCCTCGCTGAGGACTCAGGTGTTAAAAGGGTAGGTGGGCTCCAGGAAGAATTTGTGCGGGTGTGGGATGGGGGGGTAAGTGGGAGGGTAGGGGATGGGCAGGTGTGTGGGGGTGGCAGATGAGAGTTGTCCTTTAACCCCATCTGGATCTTGGTTGCATCGGTAAGGAATTGTCTTCCTCTACCCGCTTTGGCCTTTGGCTGAGTGCAGCCAATGAGCAAGTTCCAGGCAGGGTGCAGGTCCCACAGGGTTCTGCAAACCACCAGTCTGCCTGGAATGGGCCTCTGCAGCCCCCACACCTTTGTTGTCAGTGTGGGGAGCAGAGTCTGACCCCCAGGTCTGGGAAAACAAAAGTTGTTACAAATATTAGCTTCCTCAACTCCCTTGTTGTACAGGTGGGGACACTGATACTTAGAGACAGATAATGCCCTGTTCAGGGTCACACTGCCAGTTTCTGAAGCCATCTTGATCTTTCCAGCAGCCACAGACCCTCCCAGAGAGAGAACAGCTCAGCTGATGGTAGAGACCAGATCTCCCTTTGCCCATTGTCTACTTCCCAAAATGGAGTGGGGAGATAGGCCTGCTGGGCTCTGAGGCCAGTTTGTCTGGGTTCAACTCTGGGTCTCATTTCCTAGTGTGACTTTTGGAAAAGTTACATAACCTCTCCACCTTAGTCTCTTCATCTGTAAAATGGGGATTATAGTACCTATTACACAGGATTATAAGGCTTATACAACACATGCTGACTGCTCAGACAAGGCTCTCTCTAAGCATTTAGCTATTGTTACTGCTACTATCCCCCAAAGAGACAGGAGCCTGTGACTAGGCAGGAACCCCAGGCTCCTTTGGGGCCCAGAAAAGTTTGGAGCTTTTCTGAGGCCTGAGGCTTTAAGCCACAGCTTAGGTCAGCCTCCACTTAGCATGGATTGGGGTCAAGAGCCCCTGTTCAAGTCACCAATTAAGTGGGTAGCCTCACTGAGGCTTCTCCCTCTCAGAGGAGGTCCAGTTTTTTTATTGGTGAAATGGATGAAGCATGGAGTGTTAGGAGAATCATCTGCAATAGACCCCACCTAGAACGCTGTCCCTTGGTTTCTGGACCTAACTCTGGGATCCATGGGGC